ACCCACTCATCGGGGTTTCAACCCAGGACCTTTCAGTTACAAAGGGAGCTCGTAGACTGTTCATCCTCTACGACGCGATTCAATGCACGGCCCATGGATTACAGCTGCTGCTAATTTGAGATACACAGAACCACGAGCAGCTAGTGTCATAGGCGAGCAGCTTTTCTCTTACCTGATTTGATGGACCCCAGTGGTTACAATTTCTCACTAGAAACGAGAGAAACTTATTTGTCTGAATGTCCTTAGAACATATATCCTAAGCATATTCTCTCAGTGTTGTTTCTTCAGGTTATTATGGTGAATTCAGCTAAGATAAAGCCAAAAGAAGATCTCATGTTAGTTGTGCATCTCTCTTCCTCTTTATAAGATACGCCGCAAAACTTATGCTGTTGTTTCTAAGCATCAGCCCATTTTAGGCAGTTTGTCGGTAGGTCTATGCTGAGTTAGTTAAGCTAAACGAATTCACATGAAGAACATTTCTATCTATCTCCTGTACTGTTGTCACTTGAAGACGTTTCTAGGTAAGTAGTGAATATACAAGAGAATCCATCAGGCTTCGCTGATATTGTCGGAGCAGAGACTATCAGATTCGGTTGACGTCCCTAACTGTCATTGATATAAAGACAGAACTTGTGCACTGTGGTACAGTAGAATTCCATTGTGGATAAAATCTAAAAAATTATGATGAAACTAATAATGATAACGTAAGCAAGAAAGAATATAAGCCATCTACAGTTTTATTATATAAGGAGAGGACATCTGAGACCCTATGTAGTAGGATTCTTAATAATGGAGGAATCAGTGTGGCATTCAAACCTACAAACTCACTCAGGTAGGACAAGCTCTGTAGGTTAAAGGACCCTGTCAGTTGACCCAATTAGACAAAATAATATAATTTCCAAAATACTTTGCAATGACTGTGAGTTAATTCAACTACAGAGGTCAAACTAGTAGGTCAGGGGTAGTCAGATTGTCGGAACATAAGAATTTAGCTAAGGTTAGAATAATTGACCCCGCGAAGATAATTAATTTAGAAAAAAGCTCAGCAATTGCACTGCATGCATTAACACACAACCCCACAATAGGATGGAGGTAGAGTTTAAATTCTAAAACGTTTTATACATAGGTGGAGAGAGAGGTTGATTACTGAATCTTTGTTCATAGAATCTACACCCAACAGGTGCAATAGGAATGACTCATCACTCCTTCCAGAAATATGGAAAATATTACTACCAATCAGGTTAAGAGATCAGAAATAGTGGAACCATATACACGAAGTTGGGGAGTTGTGAAAGTAACTTGATATGATTATTAGCAGTGATAAATTGTGCTCGAAACGTGATCATCAGTATACATTACTGTATAACACTGTGAGACTTTATCAAAACAAATTTTACCCAGTTTCATATTTACGAATTTCAGGTAACTTCTGTACTACTGTAGTCATGACAACTGAGGAAGTGTTAGAATGTGGCTTAAAAATGAAAAATAGACTAGAATCATTACTGCTCATACCACTGATCAGAAAAATTTCATCGTCATGTAAATTATACGGTGAGTCAGTTTTCTAGAATAAAATCTGAACAATTGCATAACCACATAAAGCCTCTTTTTAAAGATTCCAGCTATTTTCTTTCCGCATACTAGTAGAGGTATCATACTTCAAGAGATTCCATATATTAGGGACTAGATAAATTAAACCCATCGAATTTCATCTCCTCCAGACAAAACTAATAATATTATTATTGTTTCCTTTAATTCCTAGAGGAACATAGGGCTTCAGCCGTGCGTCTCCATTGCGTTCGGTTCTCTGCTAGAGTCTTCACCCGGCTCCAAGTCTACCCACATGCTTTCATCTCTTCTTCACATGACCTCCTCCAAGTCACCCTTGCACTGACGACCAACTCCCCGCTTCCTTTTCGGGTTCCACTCGAGCTATGGCCTGGCCTGTGATGTCACTTGATGGTTTCCTCAGAGTATGGCCAATCCATCTCCATTTCTTCCTGCCTATTTGTTTCACAATCGGTTCCTGGTTGGTTCGCTCATTGCCAGAGATCTCTGTTGCTGATCTTTTCTGGCCAGTCATCTGATCTTGAGTATCGAGCGAAGACAACTGTTAATGAAGGTCTGTAGTTTGTCTGAGGTGCCATTCGTGACACAGCGCCAGGTCTCTGATCCGTATAGCAGCACTGACTTCACATTGGAGTTGAAAGTCCCGATCTTATATTTGATGCTGAGTGTTGTTGACCTCCACACAGACTTCAGAGTAGTGAGAGCTTGTCTTGCTTTCCCGATCCTTGCTTTGATATTCTCATCAGTTCCGCCCGTGGTTGAAACGATGCTTCCCAGGTAGGTAGGTAGAAAAAGGAGGTTGTTTCTTTCAGGTTCCTCGCATTTATGCTGATCGTTGTCTGTTGCTGTTGTTCTTGTCCAGGAATCTTCATCACCTCTGTTTTCTCTATGTTCACCTGAAATCTTTGTTACTTTTGATGCTTGTTCTGCCAGCTTGCTGCTTTTCGCTTGCATATCTTCCAGTTTGTGGGAAATCAGACATATATCATCGTCGGCGAAGTCCAGATCCTCCAAGTTGGTTTTTTGTGTGAGTCCATTTTATGCCTGTTTCCTCGTTGCCTGCTGTTTGTCACATTATCAAATACCAAATAATAACCTTTCAATATAAAGATTTAATCCCACAGTAATGAGTTCAAGTCCCATTTAGGGTGTCTTCGTCTGTTCTCGGCAAAACTGAGTGTCTTCTCACCCTCCACTTGCCTTCATAAACGATCTGGCACAGTCGAGAGACAGTAAACTTTGATCATCATTTGCCTCTGCCGTATAAGTCCTATTAACTGCCTTCACGCGCCACACAGGTATTCCTCACAAAAATAAAACGGCACATGAGAAACTCCTGGCGCCTATAGCCGGACTGGTGGATATGCATGTCCACCTAGAGGGACTATAAAAGCCTCATTCCAAACGTATGATGTACATATGCTACGGAATCTGCACGGATCGAATGGCATACATTTCTGTTTTTTGTCACCGGAACGCAACCCTCGGGACTACTGAATTATCTTGTGGATCAGACTTCAAGTCAAAGATTCGGGGTATGTATGGGGCCTTAGAAACAACTACCTCCTTCCGTCTGGGTAAATTCGGACATTATCCCAGCCTTCACACAAATAACAAGATTTTGTGTGGCGCATCTATTGGTGCCCATTTTGCACCAAACTGATATTCTACTAGTAATTACAATAATAATAATAAAGATTTATAACCCGGAATAACCCTAATATTATCGCCGTACTACCCAATTGACCAGATTTATAACCCAGAACGCATGCTTCATAAATTCATTAGTAGAATGACAGCGTCGACAACTATGTGGTAGGTTCACATGCAATTTGCAGCCATCTCTCTCCTAAACCACGTCTAGATTACTAGCAGATAGCAAGCCGGGAAGATAGGCTAGGTGGTAGTGTGGTTAGAGCTGTCTGCAAGCTGAAATTGTAGACAACAATTTATGTCGATGTTAACGTCCCGAATCGAGGCCATGAGAAAGAAAAACAGTAACAAAGCCTAACTTTGAGGAACTCACCAACCAATCACAGCAGACTTAACGTGTGCAAATACGATTCGCAGATATACGGCTTAACTTTCTAAGAAACTGTCACTAGCAGTACAGAGTAACCTTCAGCATGAAAACAATCAATCGGAAGACGTTGCTTCTCCGCTAACAATAATGTACATAAAGATTCAATACATATTTCTTGATTTTCTCAATAAACGCTATGTCACCTGGCCTTTGCCTTCTGTCGTTACAGTAGGTTGTGAGTTTGTCAACGACACTCTGTTGCTGGCTGGCTGGATTCAACATAGAACTTGGCACCGAAGTGCACCAGTTCGAGTTGCCACGTTCCAAAGAGCACACAAAAGTAGACAAGAAAATGAGTGAAGAGAATCAATAGAGTTTTGACAGGCATAAGAGTGAAACAGAATGAGTAATGGTAGAAAGGAATATGAAAGGTTACAGAGACTGAATACATCTGCGTAAGCCGTTGACAACGATTTTGAGCCATGTCACCTATTGTCTCCAGCCACCATTGATTCTTAGAGTCCCGAGGGCCCCAACCCGGAAGTCTGCATCTCCCTACCTGACTCAGTTTAACTGTCAAGGATTTCATGGATTGATGGCATGTTTTTGTTTGGCCACCACTTACTCTTTTCCAACCTGCACCTACATCAGCTAGTAATGCCCGTCGGCGGAGGCGATGGCTAGGCATGCGCAGCACGTGACCTAGCCATCTCAATCTATGTAACTTTGTAGCCTCTTCGAGTGATTTTCCCTCTTTGCCCAACACTCTACGCCTAACGTCAACATTACTTTATTATACCACCTAACGCGAGAAAGTGATCGTAAACATCTGTGGTCAAAAACAGACAATCTCTTCATGTCTTCCGCTCTCAATGGCCACGTCTTACCACCATAGAGAAGGACGGAGCGAACAGCTGAGCAGTATACACGTCCCTTGGTTGACATTCGGATGTCACGCCTACGCCAGAGACGGTGTAAGTTGGCGAAAGCAGCCCGAGCTTTTTGGATCCGTGCTGAGATTTCGTCACCAATCAATCCGTTGGTGCTGATACAACTTCCCAAATAGGTCAAGTGGTCAACGTGTTCTATCACTTCACTCCCTATCACTAAGCTAGGAGTTGACGTAGTCCAGTCCTGTAGCAGCATCTTACTTTGTAGAATCAACATCACAATTAATGGAACTTCTAAAGACCTGGAAGCCCTAATTTGCATTCAGCGAATGTAAGAAAAACAAAGACGTTAATTCATACATAAAAGTTCTCTAAAAAGTGAACAAATGTATATTTGAAGCGGTTATGTAAACATGAAAAAATGTGACTTATTGTCTTTCTTTATTTCAAAACAGGACTATTTAAAAAAAAGAAGAAAATACTAAACATACTACTACTACTTCTTATTTTCTTAACTATATGAAGGTAATATAATGTCGTTTTTGTGAATCTTTATACCGATCCAGTATCACTTGAATACGGAAACGACGATAACCATAATCGAAACCTTTACATAAATCCCATAAAGGACATAATGGACAGCATAAAACATCTAAATACTTCATGCAGATTATTCCACCGGGAGAATAACAACACTGACATATTGCAAATTCAGATGCACCTTTATACTTTGGATAATTCCATTCTTCTTCCTCCTGTTTCGGCACAATGGTAGGACAACCACCAGGACATGATTTAGTCATAAGTTGTAGATAATGATAAAGGGTATCACATTTTCTCGGCATCTTACAACATGTACACGTTTCACAACACGCTGACAGTAGACAACATCGAAGATCAGTGGAATCACCGACATCATCCTCAGCGCCATCATCATCGCTATCCTCACTGCTTTCAGTATCTTCGCCATCATCATCATCATCATCATCATCATGAGAATCAGTTGGTTGGACTGAATTGTGTACATTACTACTGCATAGTTGACCCCATGGTCCAGTAAGCTCTTCTTTGTTGCTGTTGTTGTTGTCAGTGTGTGCAGCAGCTTTCGTCTTATATCCATGTTGAAACATCGCGATTCGGAAAGATTTTGGTTGCTTGACAATAACATTATAATTATTCATGTATTGACATAAAGTAAAATATTTTTTTTGAAAAAAATGTGAATACTATCCAAGATAACAATGTAGGACAAGAACTTTAATATTGATCACATAATTATATATAATAGATAGCAGTTTTTCTCAGTGTTAAAAGAGAATTTTTTCTCTTTCACATATATACACACGCGCAAAGTGATACATATTTAACAATGTGAAGAAAGAGTGAATATTATTTACAGTACTGTTGTACAAATTAATTTAAACAGGAATGGATCGATATTTCACAATGTAGTAGTAAGTATAGTTTATCGTTTAACGAAGGCTGGCAAAGACACTATTCTATAGAGTGAAACGAATATATTCAGCACGTATATAAATAAGACAGTGAATTCATGTTACTTGAAAAATGCCTCAAAGAAAATTGATCGTCACAAAGTTTACACAAGAAAGAATGTATAATGTCTAATGCAAAATACCTCGGTCTAATTCTATCTTCCGACCTTACTTGGACATCTCATATCCTAACGATTTCTAAGAAAGTGTTCTGTCTGACCGACTACATTAGGAACTTAGACAATCTGGAATCACCCAACCTCTACTTCCACAATTTGTCAACTCTTGTATCTTACCTATTCTACTTTACTGCTCCCCGTTAGTCTTTCCAGGGCTACTGAAAAAGGACTATACCATCCTGAGAAGGATGTTGAAGGTAGTGAGTAGGACTAGTGGTGTAAAACACAGTCAGCTCGTCACTACATTAGTAGAATGTCATATGAATACATGCGAAAAATGGTCAAAAACCATACTCTCCGACCCCCAACACCCCCTCTGTTCCCAACTCTCGCCTTGTATCTCATCAAGTAGAACCAGAAACCAGTATAAAATAATCTATGCTCGTACAACCAAGTATAGGAACTCAACGATACCATACTTGGCACGTGTTCTAAGTGACAGAGACAATGTTAAGCGTGAAATCTATGACTTGCTTTGTTGTTAATAACATAATTTTAGGCTCTTTTATTTCTCTCTTATTTTGTTTTCTGTAGTCAACTCCTTCTTAAACACACTTAGGTACCTAAATTATTAACATTGCTTACTTTTTTGTACTTTACTATATTCCTTCTACTGTGTATCTACTGGTTCCGACTATATTAGCACAATGAGTATTACAAAATTGTCCTTTCAATAACGATCATATAATTATTAGCTTTTGTGGTTGTTTTTTCTTATTTTTTCTTTTTTCCGGCAATATTAACTGACAATCTTGGTTGTGAACGCCATTACCACTATCTCAAAATTTTGTATTATGCAGGATTACTCACACTACCACTACAAACACCACATTAGACCTGACAATAAAAAACAAAGCAACAACCCTGAAATGTTATTTTATGATTGTTTAGTGTTGTTTCAACCTACATTAACTGACCATCTTGGCGATAAACACTCTTAAATATCATTTCATAATTTCTTGTATGACTATAGCTTTACTGTCACCATGCATAATCATATCATAGCTTCCACTACCCAATACTGAGATATTGTTATATGCTGTTTATTTTCCTTTCTACTTCTTGGTATATTTTCGCATTTTAAAAAAAATTTATTTTTGTGTTTTGCTGTCGTTATATTTTTTTTTTGAAATACTCCTTTTAAATGTTTGATAAAATTAGATGCAAATATTGTAGATATGTGCTGAAAATTCCACACTGTACCACTTGTACTGTTTCTGGAATAAAGCAAATTATTATTATTATTATTATTATAAATTCAGATATAATGACAGTTAGTGAGAAACCAATTTTCATTCAACTAGACGTCGGAAAGTTGATGATTGTATAAGAATCATAAACAAACGTTTTAGTACAGCAGTGACAAGGACTTATCGGGCAGCAAAACTAGTCTCTCTCTTCTCTGAACACCCCGCTCGTCGGTACAGTCAAAAATCAATAAGCATTTCTTAATATGTTACCCGCAACTATAGATACCAATTCACCTGTAACTGCAGGAACAGTTACATCGGGAGAAGACAAAGAAGCGCCTATATCAGATTTCTTGAATGTGAACCAGAGAAGCCTTTGAATAAAAGTACAGTATATTTTGAAATGGTCACTTAACCAATGCTTGATAGACACAGGACACCAAGTGGACAATTGACAGTTCAAAAGCAATTAGTCAGTCATGGTATATCAATCACCCTGATAACTTTCTCCTTGGTAACTCTCTATCTTCTGATTTCAGCATTTTGTTTTTGATTCCCTAAGCTCATTTTTCCCTTGACATTCACACTAGACTTCATTTTTGATTTTTTTAAAATTCTTTTCACTGTATTACATCATCACCACTTCAATCGACTTCGCATACGCGAACTTTATTATCTCTGATTAGGCAGTTATTACTAATTTATTAGCACCCTTGGAACAACTAAATATCGTGTGTACTGCTCAGAAGTTCACTCTGTCATCATTTATGGCTGTGAGTGACACACGGCCATTGAAAGTGCAACACATGAAAAGACCAGCTAGCTGTCTTTGATCATAGGTACCTGCGTTCTGTCTCCCGTGTTAAGTGGTATAATAAGGTGAGCAATATTGAGATTAGGCCTGTGTCGAGTGCTAGGTAAGGAGGGGAAATCAACAGACGAGGCTGTGAAGTTACACCAATTGAGATGGTTAGGACATGTGTTACGCATGCATCCCTAGCCATCACCTTCCTCGACGGGCAGTGTTAGCTGATACATGGTCAGACTGGAGAAGAGCTAGCGGCAGTCAAACGAAAACATGGTGTCATCAGTCAATGGAATCCACAACAGTTAGTTCTAGCCACGTAGGAAGGTGTAGGCTTCCTGGTTGGGGTCCTCGGGACGGTAAAAACCAATGGTTGGAAACAATTGGTGACATGGCTCAAAATCGTTCTCAATGGCGCAGATGCATCCACTGCTTGTGACTTATGATTTCCAATGAAACTGTTTTGTTGCTTCACACCTCTGTTTACTGTCTCTAATATGCATTTCTCCTACTTTCTTCTCTTGCTTTGTGTGCTACAAGGAGTGTGGCGACTTGAACTGCCGCACATATGTGCATAGTTCCATGTCGAAAACATACAGACAGACGAATTGTGGGAACAGTATTCAGACGTTAACACCAACAAATACAATGATTCTTACTGTGAGAATTATATTACGTTGGAACACATTGTATCACACCACCACATACGATATAAGTGTAGACAACGAGAAGAGAAGATGAGTGCGGCCCACAGGGCACTGAACAAAGGAGTGAAGAAAAGTGCTATGAAGGACAGAAGACACCAACAACACACTGGTGTAGATGAACTAGAACAGACTGCAGGTAAGAGACCTCAAAACAATTTATCAAATAACCAGGTCACTATCCACAAAATGAGATTAACACAGATGAAACCAGAGAGAGTTAGTAAAAGAAACATAATTACCAAAGAGGAAAAACAACAATAACACAGTGCTGATCACTTCAAACATCACTTGAGGCAGTTGCCAAGTTTACAACTCGTCCAGAAATATCACCAACAGCAAAGGCAGAACTGCCGGTGAACATCAACCCTCTGGCAAAAACAGAAAGCCATAAAGTTAGTAATAGCCGTGAAAGCGAAAGGACCAGACGGAATCCCCCAGAAGCGCAGAAAACGGACCCAGAAACCACAGCAGATATGCTCATAGGACTACTACAGAAGGTTTGGAAGGAAGGAAGGAAAGGTACACACCGATAATGAGAACAGGTGCTTTTCAAATCGCCTACGAAAGGCAACTTAAGCGTAGTATCATACTCCAGTCCATACCATGCAAAGTAATATGCCGCATTATCCTAGAGAAACTAGACAGTCTCCTGAATGAAAAACAACGCCCAGAGCATGCTGGATTTCAGGGAAACTAGTCATGCATGAGCCAAATTACAAAGTCCCGCAACATGATAGAAAACAGAATAGATTGGCAGTCAACTGCCTACCTCAATTTCATCAGCTTTGAAAAGGCCTTAGACACTGAAGTAATTCATCAACTGCTTAAACACTGCGCACTGCTGTGCTGCGAACATTTACAAGTCACATTCCACAGCTTTATAATGATGTTGCATGCCGAGAACTTTACAATGGAAAGCCCACTGAGGATTTAGAAGTAAAGAAAGCAGTGAGAAAAGGTTGCTTACTATCATTAATGATCTTCCTGACTGTTGTGCATTGGACCGTGTCACAGACGATGGGCATACAAGTGGAATGACAAAAATACCTTAGAAGATCTGGATTTCAATAATGATTTATGCCTAGTGTTGCACAAACTCGGAAATTTACACGAGAAAACTAACAAATATGGACTGAAAAGGCAATCAACTGTTGGAAGTACGCTTGCGAGACATAACAGCCAGACCCTTCCGTGGAGCGCGAATGGGAAAAGAAGGGTTAGAGGAACCAGCGTGATATGGAGATCATCCAGAGAACTAAGTGCAACAGAGATGTGCTACTAAAGCTTTGTTCCACTCAGAACACAACAAACGAATAACAATAATCTTATCACCAATCATAGGCCTTTATGAAGTCCTATCACATAGTCATTTCAAACTACAAAACACCTCCCTGAACAAGAAAAGTGGAAAAAACTAATACCAATGTCCTATTTAGGCCGAAGTTGGGTGGTACATAATCGTTGCGGAGATTCAAACTAGTGGGAACCTTGTTCGTTGCCTAAAGCCCCATCAGAGGGTCCGAATGCTGATCCACTTACTATTGCATGGCATGTGAAAAGTTTGTTCCAGATAATTGAGCTAAGGCTAGTTTAACCGCTCCTTATAGATTTTCGTTCAATATCTGTCATTTTCCGAGAATTTACAGAGAATGAGGACATATACTCGCCAATTACATTGGCTGGTAGTCGCGCGTTGAAATCAAGAACTGGTAGAGGTTGGAATTCGACAGGGTCCCAATGACTGAATGATCTATCGACTTGCTTTGTAACCAGGAGGTCATGGGTCCCAATCCCGGTGGATGAAACAACCATCTAGCACTCTTTGGTTTCTAATGGTTCTTTTAGTGACATCAATCTGTGATCAAACTTGGAAGAAATCAATTTACTGCGAACTAACCCTTGTGCATGAAAAGTTGATCAGCACTTTCTAGGACTAAACAAAGCCTTTTCTAGATATTCCGGTTTGACTATCCATACTTATTGGTGGTCATCATCGGAACTTTTGAGTTTCACATCTTCGGTCCAGAGCTAGATGAAATCATCAAACCTACTACACTAATCAGTTGGACGTGGGATTTTATCAATCTCCGGTTGCAAGTTATTGAAAGCAGATAATTATTACGTTCGAATGAATGTTGAGATAATCTACAGAGCATCTGTGAGCTGAGTAGTAAAGGGCTGAACAGCAGCTTATCTACACAGAGGCAATGTTTCACCATTCTCTAAAGACGATATAAAGCAATATAACCCATTCCCTCTACTGGATTCCAGTCATGCTATGCTTGAAGTAAGTACTATTTATTGGCAACTATAGAAGATTACCACCATTCCCTCTTCGTCCGAAGGGCACTTCAAACAAACTACAAACCTTCATCAACAGCTGTCTTCGCTCAATACTGATCAAGATCAGATAGCCGACCAGAAAAGATCAGCAACACAAATCTCTGGGAACAAACCAACCGATTGTGCAACAAATATGCAGGAAGAAACGGAGATGGATTGACCATACTCTGAGAAGACAAACCATCAAGTGACATCACAAGCCAGGCCATAGCTCGAGTGGAATCCGAATGGGAAGTGGCGAGGTGGTCGTCCGTGAGAGGGTGACATGGAGGAGGAGGAGGGCAAGCGAAGAGAAGATGAAAGCATATGGTCAAACGTGGAGCCAGGTGGAAACGTTGGCGGAGAACCGAACAAAATGGAGGCGTCCGGCTGAAGCCCTATGTTCCTCTATGAACTAAAGGAAACAATAATAATAATACCTGTTCTTCCGTCCGAATTAGTAGACACAAAAAGAATTATTCCAAAGCGGCAGTTTTTCTACCCCTGATTTTCAAACTACTTGCTGACTCACATTTGACAGAAAAAAGTTTCCCTCAATGCTTTGCCCAATCATTTCCCAGATATCTCTGCCATTTTATTTCCTCCGAATCTAATGCTCATAGTGATTCCTTCTTGATGTTGTTCTGGATTTCATTTCGGCTTGCTGCCAAAACTTCAATTATTTATACCACACCACTGAGACAACTGTCTACGAATCTACTGCTACTCAGGAAACCTTTCTTCACAGAACACCCACTTCAGCCTCAAGGCTTATGGAGTCGTAGCAAAACCAGTGACAGTATCGGCAGCATAATAACGTGGAGATGTGGAACTGTCATTTTCGATTCTTTCACAAAAGAAGTGTGTCTCATAAGCCAGTATATCGGCTGTCTCTTTCTTTTTTGAATCACGCATCCTACACTCTTTAGCAGAAAGTGTGACTTCACATCTACGCTGTTCGCAGCCTCTACTTCGTCATAACAGAAGGAACTGCCTCAATCACAGTCATAGGATAAAAATAAACCACCGGGTCATTTAAAACTGCCAACTCATCATCAATCACAGTACACTCACATCCAATTTTTTTTAGTATAATAATTATCACAATGGGAAACTTACGGAATCCTTCGAAGTGAGGACAGGAGTAAGACAAGGCTGCCTACTATCGCCAATGATTCTCCTGATTGCAGTAGATTGGATAATGCGACAAACAGAGGGCAATGAGGAAACAGGCATAAAATGGACTCACACAAAAAGAGACTTGGAGGATCTGGACTTCGCCGATGATGATTTATGTCTAATTTCCCACCAACTGGAAGATATGCAAGCGAAAAGCAACAAGTTGGCAGAAGAAGCATCCAGAGTAGATAGGAAGGACTTCAGGTGAACATAGAGAAAACAGATGTGGTGATGAAAAATCCTGGGCAACACCATCAACAGCAACAACAACAACAGACAACAATCAGCATAAATGGGAGGAACCTGAAAGAAACAACCTCTTTTACCTAACTTGGAAGCATCGTTTCAACTACGGGCGAAACTGATAAGGATATCCAAGTAAGGATCGGAAAAGCAAGACAAGCTTTCACTACTCTCAAGTCTGTGTGGAGGTCAACAGTAGTCAGCATCAAAAATAAGATCCAGATTTTCAACTCCAGTGTGAAGTCAGTGTTACTCAATACGGATCAGAGACTTGGCGCGTCATAAAGAGCATAACAAACAAACAACCGATTGTGAAACAAATACGCAGGAAGAAATGGAGATGGATTGGCTGGCCATACTCTGAGGAAACAATGCATCAAGTGACATCACTAGACAAGCCCTCGAATGGAACCCGAAAGGGAAGCGGTGAGTTGGTCGTCAATGCAAGGGTGACTTGGAGGAGGTCATGTGAAGAGGAGATGAAAGCATGTGGGCAGACTTGAAGCCAGGTGAAAACTCTAGCAGAGAACCAAATGCAGTGGAGACGCACGGCTGAAGCCCAATGTTCCTCTAGGAATTAAAGGATATTATTATTATTATTATCAGGTTTATTGTAAAAGTTAGGTGTAAAACAGTGACATCTCTCTGTTTTCGTCCCTCTTTAAAAAAATGATAACAATAATATGTCAGTGCTTATGTATGTATAAAAAAAGATAGTAAGAATATTACAAAATGAATAATGATGATGATAAACAATGACAGTTTGCAATAACTCATACACCCACCACCATAAGCAAAATGTGATGAAGCAAAATTACCATGGGAATCCAACCAATACACTCTGTGTCACAGAATAAAATAATAATTACGTAATCGTGATCATGTTATTATAATTAAATGGCCTAACGAATCGTGTGAAACTTTGGATCAGTCAAATCAGTTCGAGATGGGAATATGAAACTGAGATTTGAGTCAGCATTGATGCCGACAACACGAATTGGACGAACCACCAAGGAATTTGTCGGGATGATAACAGTGTTGTTTACAGTTAACTTGGAGTTCACTTCATTGACCAGTTGAGATTGTTGTGATGTTGCGTTTTCAGCAGTCTGATCACCACCGCCGCCAGCACTACCCACGGTGGCCTGTACTGTCTGGGAGCAAGTATTTTCCAGTAACCAAGCAATGACCAACTCAGCGAATTTCTGGCATAAAGACAGATTAACACCGGTAACTTCAATCAGGATGTCTCGTGTATCAACCTTCAGCTGGAATAAGAAATTTAGGCATAAGAATTATACAATTATGTAACGGCAGAAGAAAAAAACTGGTGAAAAAACCTTTTATAAAAGAAAACAAATAATACTTAAATATTTTCGACAATATTAAAAGTCGGCTAGGTCAGTGAACAATAAATTGTTCGGATTGGTCGGTGATTGGCCTAAGGTTAAACACTGAGAAGAAAGGTTGTCCAGTGAGATTATTTCATGCCCATAATGTAAACTAGATCGAGATTGAGCCATTGACTCAATATGTTGATTTCGAATTTTGCGGCTTTCTGTCAATCTGTATTTATATACTACTGGTATATCTTGTCAGTAGCACATGCCACACTTAGATAAACTTGGAGCGATTACAGTTCGAGAGAGAAATGGCATGCAGTTCAATATGATTTGATCAAATTAAAGCACATAGACACTGGATATCGATTGCTAGGTATCACCACATATACACGAAGCGAGTGCCACACGAGCTTCTTTATATCTGTGCTGAGATATCACCGGCAATCAACACGCTTGACCACTTCATCCTCTATCTGTAAACTGGCAACCAGCGCAGACCAGTCATGCATCAGTTTTTCCTTACATGTGGCTTAGTCAAACATCACTCGCCAAACACGCACAGGTCGGCTGGATTCGACTCCCATCTGACACACCTCCAAGCCTCACTTAGTTTACTAGTCGCTACTACCACCACCGAAAAAGATAGAAGGTTGATGACTTTCAAGTTGGTTTATGGGTTAGCTTGCTGTTCATATATGATCACGTGTTCGTCGATAGAGCTGCGGCAGAATCTTTTTACGCCTTTATACAATCATGAGAGTAAGTGTTCGATTATGCGTCTGCATAGCAAACGCTGGGTACTGCCGATATACCTAGCTCCATACGAACAGGTGAACTGATAGATGCACATTGATGTGAGGCCAGCAGTGGTAGCTTATCTGTAAGGTGCATGCGAATCACTGGTTTCGTAGAGGAAGTTATTCGCAGTTCAACATCGAAGAAGACTTTCTTCAGTGAAAGGGACAGGTGGTGTCTTAGTGTATCTGCTGGTGAGTCTCTGTTGAATTGTAGTTTCAAGTAGAGACGCTTTTTAGGAGCAGAAAGTGTGGGCGGTTTAAGTGGTTTAGCTTTCATGGATTTCGTAATGAAAAGTTCTGAGTAACCATTTTCAAGCAAAATTCTTTTCAGAGTGTTCAGCTCCTCTTCCATAGTATCAGGGCTGCAAACGCTGCAGATTCTGGGGATCAATGAGCAGATTAGGTCACGTTTGGTATACGAAGAGGCACCCCACTATCAAAGTTAATGAGTTATCCGTTCCATTTCGGTTTTCTGTAGACGGATCCTTTTAGCGTTCCATGTTGTTTACGTTTTGTTAATTGAACGCCCAGAAAATATCTTTTTCCGTCGGACTCCTTCTCTAGTGTGCAATGGACTGAATGATGTCAGCTGTTGAAAAAGTACAGGATTTCCTCAAAAATTCAAAAAGTTTGAAGCCCTATACAAGGAATAGGTAAGAAGAGCTTTATCAGTGTAAAGTTGGAAACAGACTATCTTTGGTTAATTTCTTTTCATGTTGTGGACTAATTGGAACTTGAAGTCAGTTTTGATGTTATAATAAGTTTTGGAGATGTATTCAGTTATTGTATATCTGATGAATGCAAAGGAGAACATCGTCGAAAATACCCTCGATGAATGCTCTGCTTCACAGAAGTACACAGTAATGATTGCCTGGAATGAGTGCTTGTATAGCACCACCCACATCAACCGGTAGTATTCGCTAGCCAGTCAGATCGAAGTGGTCTAAACACTGAACGGCCGTTCAGTTCGCTCATTTGGAGCTGAGCTTACCCGCGGTGTATCTGGTTTGACTCAGTCCAGACAGCCGAATCAAACATTTCTGGCTAACTATTTAAGCGAACTGCAAAATTACGAACTAAACCGCAAATCGCCAATCTCATTTAACCTCTTGATGCCTGCATTAATTTGTTGAATGCAACTACCCGAACCTCAAAAATGCTGATTAACCAAATGCATTATTCTCAAGTCATAAAAATATCGTGGTAGGCATTCCTAACCAATCAAACAAACTAAATCCTTACAGCCTGGCCATATTCAGGCAGTGACCTGGGGTTCTAGTGGGAAGCTGTGACCAGTAGGGTGCAGCAGGTTGAAGGTGAGGAAGTAAATCACCGAAGAAGACATTGCGAAGTGGTCTCGCTATATCATGAATTGGCAGAAGTTAGAATTCATACACTGGCCATTTGATCGGGCCCCAGTTGCTTAATGGTCTACGAGCTAGCTCGCCTTGTAACCGCAAGGTCCTGGGCTCAAACCCTGGGGGTGGGTGGATGCGTACGGATGAGAAGTCCCAAACTGGGATGAAACGGCTGTCCAGTACTCCTAGCTGGTTTTCCAATGGTTCTGTAACTGATGTCAGCTGATGGTGAAGTCCCCCCACCAATCAAAACGAAATCCCTACAAAAGCCAATACTAGAAAAAATATATATATATTTATGCGTCGGCGATTCAGCGGTAGAACGCCCATGCGTGTGGTCCGGGGATCACTCCTCGCCCGACGCACTCCTAAACGCCGCTAAGATGGCAGTAAGGCCAGTAAAGAGAGAAGGTTGATCAAGAAGCAGCTAGCAACCGCCCACCCCATAAAAATAAAAACCACTGCTACCAAAACTTCAAGGAGGTAGTTTGAAGCCCTATCTTTCACTCGGAACATAAAGGAATATAATGAAAAAATGCATTACTTACACGTGTACTGTGACTGTTGGTCAGTGGGGGAACAGAGATAACTGTCAACTTTTTGTCTACCACAACAGGAACCATGACTTTGCTAAATATATTTGCTGCCATTGCACCTTCAATATTCAACACATTTAAATAGCGATAGATTTGACTGAATTTCGCCTGTTTACGAGATTTTCTATCCATTTGAGCTTCATGAACTAATTGTTTAAGAAATGCTTCTCCTGTGCATACATTAGCTCGATTTAACGGATGAATCTGTATAAAAAAACAAAGGTGAAATAAGTAGTATGTATTTCTTATCATAGGATGCGGCCAAGTTAAACTTTAAGCACCACTAACTACCAATCAACGAACGACCTTGAATGGTCCAATGAGGTTCATGCATGTGAGTTCAAGGTTGTGTAGCGCTTGATTCGTTTCAAATGCGTGCTCTAACGAACTTACGCTTGCAGTTCGAGGAGGATAAAGTTTCGCAGTATTGCCTAGGTTTGGGGTTGCTTAGGAAGGAGAGGATTCCCTCCTTGTAGCACACAAAGCAAGAGAAGAAAGTAGGAGAAATGCATAATGTAGACAGTAAACAGAGGTGTGAGACAAAGGAATAGTAATAACGAAGAACAAAACAGTTTCATTGGAAATCATAAGTCACAAGGAGTGGATGCATCTGCGCCAGCCATTGAGAACGATTTTGAGCCATGTCACCAATTGTTTCCAACCATTGGTTTTTACCGTCCCGAGGACCCCAACAAATCAAGAAGTCTACACCTTCCTACGTGGCTTAGACTAACTGTTGTAGATTTCATTGACTGGTGCCATGTTTTCGTTTGACCGCCGCTAGCTCTTTTCCAGCCTGGCCCTATATCAGCTAACATTGCCCGTCGAGGAAAGCGATGACTAGGCATATGTAACACATGTCCTAACCATCTCAGTCCATGTAATTTCACAGTCTCGTCGACTGATTTCCCCACCTTACCGAGCACTCGACCGATGCCTAACCTCAATATTGCTCACCTCATGAGTTTATACAGCTTTAGTAGGTCAATTGATGGATATGTCCATAGTTGTGCAATTTGTTTGAGACGAGTTAGTATTAGAGAAGGAAAGCTGATCATTTCATTATTTCGTACGAACATTTTTTGCTAGGTCGCATCTCTCCCTGACCCCGAATTTGTGTATTTGTAACTTCTGGGTTTTAAAACAGCCTGTGAGAGGCGCAGCTGCTGAAGCTGAAAATAGCCTCGTGTCAACATTTCAGTGGTACCAGCACTGCAGAGACATTGCTTTGTGGAAAATGGAGAGAATTACTTCGTTGTTAGGCGGAGAAGGTATCGTCGTACACGTGGGCGAAACTGTGTTACTGAAGAAAAAATACAACCGTGGTCGTGAGCGAGCCAACAATGTTTGAGTGATCGCTTTATATGACACATCCCTACGGAAAGGACTCGTGGAGAAAATACCAGAGAGAAAGTCAACTACTTTAATACCTATTATTACTAAACTTGTGAAACAGGGATCTATAGTACATACTGATGAATGGAAAGGTTATAACTCGCTGTTATCTCTTGGATATATTCATCACAGAGTGAACCATTACGGGGACACACACAAATTCTATAGAAGGATTTTGGGGAAGATTGAAAAATAGCATTAGGGCTATAAATGGATCTCAGAAGGATCTCATTTATAGTCATTTGGACGAATATATGTACAGGATGTAATGTGACTTTCTATTTACACTCCTATGCTAAACTGAGAGATGTTTTTGTCACGTGTTAGAGAAAGATACCCTATACAACGGTTTTATGCAGTTTTATGCTCTTTTTCTAAAAATGTAAGTATTCCTTTATCAAAAATCCCTCTTTCATGTGACTGGTCCGTTGAAGGTCGTTCGCTGATTGGTAGTTAGTGGTGCTAAAAGTCTAACTTTGCCCCCTCACTGGCATATCATGACACATGAACGATACTTTGACGAAGATCGTTATAATTAAATACACAGAAAATTTTACACACCTCTGAACTCGACAACTGGATATGACATCTGTGGAGGGATACAAAATGTGAACGGTTACTAAATACTGTCATCTGACAGGTATCGGGATATTTCTCAGAAGTATTAGATTGCGTTGTTTGGAAAAAATATCTTCGACATTTTTGGCGTGTCTTCAGTGCATCAGCGTTGATGCTAACTCCCAGATAGAAGAGACGCTAGCAGACATTAAGTATGGAACATTGTATACTGCGTTTAACCCATTCCATTATATTATTATTGTTTCCTTTAATTCCTAGAGGAACATAGGGTTTCAGCCGCGCGTCTCCATTGCGTTCGGTTCTCTGCTAGAGTCTTCAACTGGCTCCAAGTTTGCCCACACGCTATCATCTCCTCTTCACGTGACCTCCTCCAAGTCACCCTTGGACAACGAACTCGCCGCTTCCCTTTCGGGTTCCACTCGAGAAATGTCTTGTCTAGTGATGTCACTTGATGGTTTCCTTAGAGTATGACAAATCCATCTCCATTTCTTCCTGCCTATTTGTTTCACAATCGGTTCCTGGTTGGTTCGCTCCCAGAGATCCCACCCTGTTGGTGATCTTTTCTGGCCATCTTATCTTGAGTATTGAGCGAAGATAACTGTTAATGAAGGTCTGCAGTTTGTTTGAGATGCTCTTTATGACGCGCCAATCTCAGAGTATGCAAAAAGTGAGCAGTATGTTCCATTCACTAACTGACAGTTGCCCAAGATCAAGTGATTTACTGAGTAACAACATCTACTATGGTTGTAACAAGTACCGCTGGATTATATAATTACTCATACAAACTTACTGTCAGATGCGGGCGGTTCTGTGGAAGAAACTGATTAAACACAGGAATTGACTTGACTCCTGTGAATCAAAAAGACCAGGTTCAGATCAACAGGCATCGAGGACAAATACTTACACCAAAGTATGCGAAATCGACAACCAACCAGTTAGATTGAGACAGCGACAGTGGCATAATCAGAATGGATAATGCACTGTTTTTCTTTTGATCGACGAAATTGACTATTCTTTAAAAGTTTCCCCAAAAACACTTTAGCAGACGCAGAGGAATTATCGACAACATAGTATGTCTGTCAAGCACAGTAGTTAATTAGTGAGAAACTTTCCTTGAAAACTCGATAAATTCACAAACAACGTTAACTGCAAATCGAACAAATGCAGCAGAATCTGTCGACTATCTGTTCTACAGGTCAGCAAAGCTCTCATTTTCAAGAGTGAGTTTGTACGGATTTAGTTTCTTTCAAGTATGACCACGAACTGATATCAACCATCTGGGAGTATTGGACAGCCGTTTCGTCCCGGTTTGGGATTCTTCAGTGATACGTATCCATAACCTCACCGAGGGAGTCGAACTTATGACCTCAAAGTCACAAGGCAAAGCTCACTGACGACTCAGCCTCTTGGACCGGAATCCAATGGTCCGTGAAATCCGTATAGTTTCAATTCGCAATTTTAGCGTTATCACCAGTCAGTGTCTTCGGTGAGTGTTTGTCCTCACCCTCAACCTGGTGGACTCGCGAATTGTGAAAGAAATCAGATTTCACGGATCATTGGATTCCAGGACCAAATGGCTGAATGGTCAACGAACTTTGCTTCATAACCTGAAGGTCGTAGGTTCACCCCTCGGTGGGGTTGTGACTACCTATCACTGAGGCGTCCCAAACTAGGAAGAAACGGTTATATGTATATTCGTTTACCAATCAGTGAGTGTGTGATTTCGGTTTACATCCAACCACAAGAAATAGAATGTTCAACTATACATAGTATTCTGTTACCAATGCAGTATTGAACTGTGGGAAAGTACTTTGTCTCTAACATTAAATAGAGTGTTCAAACAGATATATCGTATTCTGTTGCTAATGTCGAATTGAACTGTGGGAATATGTGAGACTAATATATTCCGTTGGTACACTTTGTCTGTATCACACCACCACACTAGTACTACAAACATCATTAGGCACAAGGCGCAGACAACTTACTCTCAGCTATTTTTAAATGTAGTGGTGAGACTTTAAATCATGAACGCATGAGAAAATGAAAATGACTTTTCTAATATGATAAGATGTCAATGTACCATCATTCCAACTGGTATAGGTGGTGGATGAATGATCTGCACATAAAGTTATAATAGCCATTGTCTTACTAGGTGAGAAATGAGCGATACGTCTAACTGTAACGACAGAATACAAGGCCCAGGCAACAGATAATTTGGTGAGAAAATCAAGAGATATTTGTATATTTTTATGCATATTATTATTTGTTATTTTAGTAGAGAAGCAACGTCTTCTGATTGGTTTTTCTTGCTTAAGGTTATCCTGAACTACTAGTGACCGTTGCTTACAAAGTTATCCATATATCTGCGAATCGTATTTGTACACGCTAAGTCTTCTGTGATTGGTCGTTGAGTTTAGGCTTTATTCTTGTTTTTTCTCATGACCCCGATTCGGGAAGTAAAAAAATAGACGTAAATTGCTGTTTACAATTTTGGCTTGCAGACAGCTCTCACAACATACTTAGTTCTCTAAAAATTTAGCGCCTTAGATAACATCAATCGAAGCATGAAGCTTTCTTCAGCAACCTTGCAGAATACAACAAGACGTGGAAGTTTCTCAGTGTGAAACCAAACGGTGACTTTAGCTGGTGAAATGATGAACCAAGAATATCTGAATAAAGATCAGTTTATTTTGAGCACTGATGCCAAATCAATGCCTTTTATGGTTCCGAGACTTGGAACACGTGTTAGCAAAAGGATCTCTCCAACAGGCTAATGCTGACTTTCATCAACAGTTGCTTGCGCTGGCTCCATACCGAAGATTAGATGGCTAAAAAGACCAAGCAACAAAGAACTCTGGACACCAGCCAACCAAAGGCCTATTCCCCAACAAATATGAAGGAAATGGAGGTGGATAGGACACATACTGAGGAGACGGTTGAGTGACATCACGCGTCAGGCCCTCTAGTGGAACCCGAATGTGAAACGATAAGTTAAGCGTCTGAGAGGGTAACGTGGAGGAGATCGATTAAAGAATAGGTGACAGCTTATGGATAATTGTGGAAACGGTTAAATAAGACTGCAGAGAACAGGATGAAATGCAGAAGTGCCTTCGGAGCCCTATGTTCCACTCGAACCTTAAGGAAATAATAAAAATAACAATTACTTTTTACTTTTGCTGGATAACCGTAAGTCCCATTAGAACAAGATGGAGACGTTAGCAATTCAGTCATTAACTTGACGCTTGATTTATTTCAGTGGCGTAGAACGTAGTGTCTCAGGAAAAACAAAAAATAACTGATTGACTATGTTGAACTGAATAAAGACTCTGTAGTATCTCCTTGAGAAAGCAAAGTAGCCACATTCGTCTGTACAACTAAAACAAAAACTCACCTCAAATGATTGGGCTTCTTCTAAGCTGTAAGTGAGTGGAAAGACAACTTCTCTTAAATCATGTGTAGCTAAAGTGGCTTGACGACGCATTTGACCAATATCACGATGCCAGTCTTCTTGAGCACGTAAAAATGCTTTCAATTTACCCTCAGATGAGAAGTTTACCCCGTGTATAGTACAAGCGACAATGAATGGACGAGGGCCAGACTTGACTGAGTGCATTTGATTGATTTGATATTGCTGAATGGATTATTTTTTGAAGAAAACAAAAAGCCAGAAAGGCAATATTATATTCATATTTCGAACTCAAAGAGATTGTTTTCAGACAGTAAAGAAAACAAAACGATTTCACAATGAATCACTAATCATAACCCGAAAATCTTTGTTATTCGCATGGAACACTTATTAGCCAAACGGATCTTGAAATCATCTACCAGTAACTGTTGGCGAAAAGTCTACTTTCCTACAACTAGCGTGTAGGTTAGTTATTTATATTTTGACTTCACTTGTAAGATTTCATCAGGAACCGATATCAGTTAGAGAAATCATTGGAAACCAGAAACCAGTGGACAGCCGATCAGTCCCAGTTCGAGACTTTCCAGAGAGACGCACCCACTCCGCAAGGGATCGAACCCTGGACTTTTAAATTACAAGATCAAACTCGTTGACCATCCGGAGACTTTAGTTTGAATACAATGACTCGTGAATATCAACTGGGTCAACTCGTGATACATCGCTGCCCTCAACAATGCATACGATGAGCGTCCACTTCACCTTGCTGTGGTATACCCCGCCGGTCAGGAATCCTCATTACAGCTTCGTGGCGTCCATCCAGTAGGCATCAATCCGCTAGTCACCGAATTCCAGTCCAAGTGACTGAATGATCAACAAGCTAAATTCCGTGGGGTCGCAGTTGGTGAGTACTGATGAAGAGTCGCAAAACAGGACGAAACACTTTTGTCCAGCAGACCCTGGTTTCCAAACGATCTCTCTAACTGATGTTGGTGCCTAATCCAGATTCCCATATATCCCATAATCTGATTATTTATTTATTCGTTAGCTCAATTACTTAATCTTCTACCCACAATAGGCCCAATTTTCAGATTCAATATCGTTGACTTCAGTCCAAACAACAGCCAGTCAGTATTTTTCTTGACCCTTCACACTAAACGTAGCTCATAATCTGACTGACTGAGTTTCTACACGGGGATCTGCACAGAAGCTCATCAATTCAAGTTGCCGCACTTCATACAGCCCACAAACGTGGAGAAAGGAACCGTATTAAGCAGAATTGTGTGAGAGGAAGGATAGTTACACGGAAAAACATGGGGATTTAATGCATTTGGGATACTATGTACTACTAAGACGGACTTTGAGCTATATTATCAATAGTCTCCACTTATTAGTCCTTAGCGTCTCGAGGAAACTAACTAGGTGGTTTACACCACCCTAGATGACTGGCTCAAACCAGCAGTCAATAACTTCATGGAGTGATGCTGGGTTTCGGCCTAACTACCCCTAACTCTCTTCCAGCCTAATTTTAGGTCAGCTAACACATGGCTTGTGATGAGAAAGGCAATGACTAGGTATGCGTGACACTTGTCCCAGCCACCTCAATCGATTCGCCCTCACAATCCAACCGACTGACTTATCCTCCCTACTTAACACTACGCTTAGCGATAAATATTGCTCACCACATTACACCACGAAAGACAGAACGCAAACATATTTGGTAAAAGTGGCCAGCCTTTCATAGCTTTCCGATGGAAATAGCCATGTCTTACAGCCATAGAAAAGGAGAGAGAACCGCTGCGCATTACACACGTCCCTTAACCGATAGACGGATATCGCGTCTACACTAGAGTTGACAAATATCACAGCAGCCTTGGACCATAATCGCGTTCTGGCTGAACAGTTTCTCGCAGGAAAACATTAGTCGTAGGCTTGCGGAGAAGTATGTCTTCTTCAGAGATCTGCGGAGCGTTTATGAAGGACTTTTGCTTCAATATCACCTTTGAATTCCAGATTAAGCAGAAGTATCTTCTTCGGGACGGATTGAACTTGTTCGGAAGTCTTTTTTGATTTGAGGTTCTTGTCTATGAACCTAGGCGGAAAACAGTTTTCCATCAAAGTTCCTCGGAGATCACTCAGTTCTTCATCAATCACTTCCTCGCTGCATATCTTCCGAATCCTCGAGGAAAGAGAGTATATCAGGTTCCTCTTTCTGCTTAGGGAAACGAAGCTTTGAAAGTTGATGAATTGTCCAGTCCATGTAGGCTTCTTGTACATGGACCTTTTCAGGGAGTTGTCGGCGTTTCTTGTCAGATGGACGTCGAGGAAGTGGAACATTCCGTCAGATGAGGCTTCAAGAGTAAAGTTGATGTTTTGGTGGGCATTGTTGAAGGTTTGAATTGGTTTTCAAGGTCGAGGTTCTCATCACAAATGATGCAAGTATCATCAATGTATCTCTTGTAGAGATAGAGGTCATCCATAGTTGATGACAAGAAGTTGTTTTCTAGACTGGACATAAAACAGTTGGCTAGGAGGGGTCCGAGTGGAGAGCCCATTGCTACTCCATCTGTTTGCCTGTAGATTTCATCGTTGAATCTGAAGTAGACTTTGAAGGTACGCTCTTTCCTCGAGGATTCGGAAGATATGCAGCGAGGAAGTGATTGATGAAGAACTGCGTTTTCTCCAAAGAACCCTGATGGAAAACGGTTTCCCACCCAAGTTCATAGACAAGAACCTCAAATCAAAAAAGACTTCCGAACAAGTTCAATTTGTCCCGAAGAAGATACTTCTGCTTAATCTAGAATTCAAAGGTGACATTGAAGCAAAAATCCTTCGTAAACGCTTCTGCAAATCTCTGAGGAAGACATACTTCGCCACAAGCCTACGACTAACGTTTTCCTTCAAGAAACTATTCAGCCAGAATGCGAAAGACAAGCTGTCGCACTGGGCCAGTTCAACGTGCATATACCAGTTTACTCGCTCCTGCGGAGCTGAGTACATCGGCCGTACCATGCGCCAACTTGAAAAACGCGCTTGTGAACACTATCTAACCTATAACTGTAAAGAAGTTATACCCAGAAATTTACTTTTCCCATAAAAAACAACATTGAATACTAAATATAACGATAATAACCTACCTCTTCTTCACTTGGACGTTGAATAACAAGATGTGCAATTAAATTTTCCGCAGGTTCTTCTGGCTGGGGACTGGTAGCATCTGTATTATCGCTTCCATTGGATGATACTTTGGATGCTGCTGGTGGTTGCTTGTCATGAGCCTTCTTTGCTTTGCCTCCTCCTCCTCCGCCACTTTCATCCAATCGACGTAGATACGCCAATAGAGCAGTCGGTGAATGATCGTCAACAGATAATCTCTTCAAACGATTATCTTTAAACGGATTACCATGAATTTTCAACTGATTTAATTTACGACACCGATGAATATTTGCCGGGAAATCAGTTAATGAATTCTCTGCAAAGTTTGCATTCTTCAAACTGCTTAGATTACAGATATCTTTAGGCAAAGTGGTAATTTGATTGTAGGAAACATCCAATACTGTCAGACTGGTAAGCGAATCTATTCCATCAGGCAGTAACTACACACAAGCATTACAAGGAATGAATAATCAATATAGGAGAGAAAACTTACACTCAGCTTATTCTTTGACGCTAAGAACTCGTGTAGCGAAGTCAACCCTTTAACAGACGGCATACTTTGTATTTCATTACCAGATAAAATGAGACAGGATAAACTAGACAGACTATGGAAAATATCAGGAATCTCTGTAAGTTTATTGAAAGATAAATCCAAAGAACGCAGAGAGTGAAGACAGCCCAGACCGACAGGGATAGATTTCAACATATTTGTTGTAAGGCATAATTGAGCCAAACTTGACAATTTCGATATATCTTCAGACAACGACTCCAGACAAGTATGTGAAATTTCCAGGAAATTTAACTTTTTCAAATGATAAATTCTTTGATCTAATCCAGATTTTTCAATCAGTTGACAAAATTCCTTTCCAGAAACTACAAGTTCATGTCTGCCTTCTTGCAGAGCCGTGGAAACAATACTCCACTGAAAAAAAATAAAGCCAAATAAACCAAAGAAAAGTGATTAATGAATACCACATTAAGATTTTAAATTGTGCTTAGAACTTCTTAAAATTGTTCATAGCATGGACATCGCACAGAACAACACAAAATCATGATGACAGGAAAGAGACAAAATAGTGTATTAAGTGGGTCCACAAGATATTATTATTGTTGTTTCCCTTAATTCCTAGAGGAACATAGGGCTTCAGCCGCGCGTCTCCATTGAGTTCGGTTCTCTGCTAGAGTCTTCACCTGGCTCCAAGTTTGCCCACACGTTTTCATCTCCTCTTCACATGACCTCCTCCAAGTCACCCTCACAGTGACGACCAACTCGCCGCTTCCCTTTCGGGTTCCACTCGAGCAATGGCTTCTCTAGTGATTTCACTTGATGGTTTCCTCAGAGTATGGCCAATCCATCTTCATTTCTTCCTGCCTATTTGTTTCACAATAAGTTCCTGGTTGGTTCGCTCCCAGAGATCTCTGTTGCTGATCTTTTCTAGCCATCTGATCCTGAGTATTGAGCAAAGACAGCTGTTAATGAAGGTCTGTAGTTTGTTTGAGATGCTCTTTATGACGCGCCAAGTCTCTGATCCGTATAGTAGCACTGACTTCAAAATGGAGTTGAAAATCCGGACCTTATTTTTGATGCTGAGTGTTGTTGACCTCCACACAGACTTGAGAGAAATGAAAGCTCACCTTGCATTCATGATCCTTGCTTTGATATCCTCATCAGTTCCACCCACCTTTAGTTCAAACGATGCTTCCCAGGTAAGTAGATAGGTAGGTGAACGACGTTGCTTCTTTCAGATTTCTCCCATTTATACCAGCTGATTGCTGCCTGTTGTTGGTGCTGTGTCTGCTGGCCAGTAGTCTTCATCACCTCTGTTTTCTCTATGTTCACCTTAAGTCATATCTTTCTTTAATGCTTCTTCTACTAACTTGCTGCTTTTCACTTGCATATCTTCCAGTTTGTGGGAAATCAAACATATATCATCGGCGAAGTCCAGATCCTCCAAATTTTTTGTGTGAATCCATTTTATGCCTGTTTCCTCATTGCCTGCTGTCTGTCGCATTATCCAATCCACTGCAATCAGGAAAACCATTGGCGATAGTAGGCAGCCTTGTCTTACTCCTGTCCTGACTTCGAAGGATTCCCGTTGTGGATTACTTGGCATGCAGCATTGTCGTACAGCTGTTGGATGAGATGTATAATTGTCGGTGGCACCCTGTAGCAGCTAAGTAGTTTCCAAATCACCTTTCGATCGACGCTGTTGAAGGCCTTTTCAAAGTCGATGAAGTTGACTGTCATTCCAAGCTTTGTCCAATGATGATCCGTAATGTGGCGATCTGATCAATGCATGACTTGTTTCTCCTGAATCCAGCCTGTTCCGGTCGAAGTTTTTCATCCAGGGCATGTTTGATTCTCTCCAGGTCCCATCTCCATAAGATATAGCCAACAAAAATACGTTGGACTATTTATCATACCAGATAATGTCACCAAGTTACATGCTGGCTCAAACTTTATTACACTGAAGGTCTATGACACGCATAGCTTGTTCGAGATACATATTAGTAAGTCTCCACGATCATTGGGGAATAACTTTCCATAGATTTAAGATTTCTGGCCTATTTAACATGGGAGGTTGTGTATCATAAGGAACTTGATGAAATCTACTTTGAAGTAAATCACTTAACTGGGAAACATTTTACGTTGAGAAAAAGCAATTACCAACAGGTAGCTGAGTGTAAACAGATGACTAACTGATGTTGATCTGAGACAAAATAAACTGCTTTGGAATTAACCAATAACCTAAAAACCCTCTTTATTGGAAGTTTATAGTAATTACAAATAGTTAAGTGAGTTTACTGCTGCGATGAGAACAATGGCAGCAGGATAACACAATGCTACTTAATCTAGGATTGTATTGTGAGCTGTTAGGCACTTGCAGACGTGAGTCACGGGCATTCAAATTGTTAGTTCAGTAGTGGTAGTGTCAAAATGTGTTTTAGCCAATATTGTAGGATTTTTCGAATGACTGACTCACTGGCTGCTTACGAATGTGGAACTTTGCACAGATGTGCAGCGGTTCGAACTACTATACTCCATGTAGCACACAAAACAAGAGGAGACAGCTAAGAGAAATTAAAAAGGGGGGTAATAAACGGAAATGAGACAAAAAGAATAGTAATATGTAAGAACAATAGGATTTTATTATATCCCGAGGACCCCAGCCAGGAAGTCTACGCCTACCTACGTGGTTGACTTAATATAACTGTTAATAACTTTGATCACTACTTTCTTTTCTGACTTAATCCAATGTCAGTTAACATTTCCCCTTGAGGAAAACAAAGGCCAGGCACATGCATGCGTAATACATGTCCTGACCATCTCAATCGGTGTAACTTCACAACCACCTCATCGATTGATTTCCCCTCCTTGCCTTGTACTCAAAGCCTAACCTCAATATTTCTCACCCTAATTTACCTCCTAACACGAGACAGAACGCAGGCATCTATGATCAAAAACAGCTAGCCAGGCTTTTTCATGTGTTACACTTTCAATGATCATGCCTCACAGCCATAAAGGAGGACGGAGCGAACTGCTGAGCAGTACACACACCCTTTGGTCGATAGCCAACCGAATATCACATCTACGCCAGCGATGGCGTTAGTTGGCATGCACATGCCAAACGAGTCTTCTGTATTCACGCTGAGATTTCGTCAGTGATCAACCCGTTGGCGCTGGCTGATGCAACTTCCCAAATACGTGAAGTGGTCGACACGCTCTACCACTACACTCCCTATTTCTCAGCTAATAGTCAATGTAGTTCAGTCCTGTAGTCTGATCATCTTACATTTGACTGGAGCGGGTGAATCGCATGCCAAACATTCGGAAATCGCTGCTCCTCGTGGTGTTCAGAAGACTGCATTTTGTCAGCGTCTTCACCTAGGAAGGAGGACTATTTCATCGGCATATTCTAAGTCAATGGAATTATTCCCTGATTGTAACAAGTCAATCTCTGAGTCACTGAAGTCAGTTAGGGTTTAGTCTATTAGTACATCCATGATGAAACTAGACATAAATGGGGACAGTGAGCATCCCTGGCGGACACCACTGGTTGTTACCACTTCAGATGACAACTCTCCGTAAGCTCTCACCCAGCTGACTGGATGAGTTCGAGTAGAATGCCTTGGTCAGGGCGATGTATTTTCTCGGCATTCTCTTCACAGCGAAACGTCACCATAGTACCTCTCGGTCGACAGAATCGAATACCGCTTTCACGTCAAGAAATATGACGTTTGTTGGACGCCGGTAAGCATGTTTATGTTCCAGAATCTATCGAAGGATGGAGATGTAATCAGTACACCCTCTTTTTGGAATGAGTTTCTAGATAACTCTCCAAAGTGGTTTTCCTTAAGAAACGCCTTTTATTACCTTCAGTTCATGACCTAACTCAGAAAAGTCAAATCAACTTTCCTTATTACAAGAAAAAAAGGCTCTTGTAAGTTGAAGACAGTGGAATCATCACAAATTATGTGACAGTATACGTATTTCAGATATTTTTTTCATCTTAGAAATATAAAGTGGCGTTTCAAGACTAATCTCAATCAGTACTCCATCTAACAACAAACAGTCAGCTTATAAAGCATGACGACCGCATCATTTAAAATTTTCATTGACGTGGATATTAAATGCCGATTAATTTAAGCCATTGAGTAGCACTCAGATATCTGAATGCCTAAACACCGTTGGATGTACTTCGTGTTATTAAGAACAGTCACATCATGTTCACTTAAAAAGCTAGAAATAATTATATCTTAGGAATCTGAAAACCATCATTTACGTACTACCGCTTGTGTGTAATAGCACCACAGAGATCAAGCGTACAGAATTAGTTAAAAGAATCCAAAAAGACTAATGGGCGTGTGACTTCTAACCAGCATGTGGAAAAGTGGCTAGCTGACTTAAGCAGTCATCTTCTGGTCAGATGGTCCAGGGTTCGAGTCCTTCCCAACCTACTTCAGTCTAAGTAACTGGGTAGTTTCACCAGCCTTTATATTATAAGTGTGGCTCATCGTGATACATGTAAGAGCTGTCCTGGGAACTAAATTCAAACAATTTAGTAGATTGAGGGCACCTCACGGATCCCGTATCGTCAATATAGGCTAAAATTTCTAGCAGAGGAAGTACACCGTAAATAAGTACTAAAAAAATCAACCAAACGCACCAGTGGTAGAACTACTTGCTTTTTGATAAACAGTAAGCAACCACACCAATGATGCAATCATTGGAAGTTGAATGTCTAGATATATTTGTCACAGCTAAAACAAGTTGCTTTTTCGTCTACCAGTAAGACTTAACTAGTCAGCAACAAAACGACAGCACACGTACACTTCATAACCAACTTCTAACCGGTGACCAAACGCTTGAAGTTTAGGATTCCGAATTAGTCATCAGTAGGGTTCACTAGGACGTATTTACTACCCACCATATTACTCCCAGTTAGGAATTTATTTGAACAAATGAAGATGAGTGGTCACAGTTCTAGTGTGGAAAATTAAATCCGGTCCACTACTAGCACTGACAGAAAGACACATCATGAACAATGAAATCTCTAATATATGGCAGTGAAATTAATGATAAGCAGTTTCGACTACTTAAGAAAATTATTATAAGATAACTAAAATAAAATATTAAACTATTATCACACAGTTTTCGGCATGAATGAATGCATTACTGTCAAAACTGCACAGTGATGAACATCTCCTCTACACATGCGTCTGTGGTACAGCGGTTAGGATTCTCGCCGACCATGCAGATGGTCCGGGGTTCGATCCCCTGCCAACGCACACCTGATATCAATGGTCGGTCTGCAAAATTTGGGCTACCGATATCACATGCTGAAAATTCCATACTTGTACCAAAAATACTGTGGTTTCAAGCTATATTCAAAATAAAAAAAATGTTGTTTAAGAAGACATTAATTTTTAATCACATCTAGTTTCAGAGTTGGCTCGTTTAGGTGAGAATAGATCATTACACATCATCTTAGGAAGCTATGAGTAAATTAAAATTTCTAACGACAACCAACTTTTGGTATGATCACTGTTACTTGGTGTCTTCTGACTGCTAATCAATCCCAGACTCACATAGACTACATTACAATTACATGGATTGGATGTATTCAAAGTTGTCCTTCCTCCTGGAGTATTTGCCTGAACTCAGATAATACTTTAGTGTGGCAACCGAGGTAGGTCACAGCACAGATACTTGTCCATCAGGAAGTACAGATTAAGGGGGTGAACTTGAAAATGATGAGTGAAGGTAATTGCTGCTTATTAAAACTGGGTTTCTTGAAATTACTTGCCGTAAGGTAACGACTACATGGCATGGTTGTGTATACAAATCAAATGCCTAGTCAACTTTGGTCGGACAATTTGCGTACATATTGAGTGCATGAGTGATGACTGACGACAGATGACGAAACTAAAAAGCTCACATCGAGACTACAGCAGTGTTAGCCACTTTCAGTCGATTTAGGAGACATCGCTATTCCACTCTGGAATCAGGAGTTACATTTACGTTTCAAAACCATTATTAATTCTGAGGCTTGAGTGTTCTTGTCTGCACGGATAGCCACATCATCCTAGAACAGCGGTTTCGGTGGCTTGGGCATCTTAGAGGCTTTCACAATGTTTATTGTTTGCTATTTCTGGAATCAGTAGCAAAACAGAAGTGATCAGCCAATGACGTTAAGCCACGGAGAGACGAATATTTCTTCTAGGTTAGCATCCGTTATAACTACTTGAATACTTGAATTGAGTCTAAGATGCTATACGACTTAGCGACTAAAAATTAAAATCAATAGCCAATAAGATGCAGTAACTCAATTATTTCTACTTAAGAAGGTAAGATGAAGTATTTAACGATAACATGTATGAATACAAAAAATATGCACATTTGTTTTTCTCTAGCTCATCGAAAATTTTGTTCTCTTTAGCTTGCATAACTGTTTTTTGTGTGGTCCATCAATCTGAAAGTAAAATTATTTGGTTCGACCAGGGCGTTTCCTTAAGACAGGCAAAATCAATTATTGCATCCACCACTAGGAACCAACTAATGGACTTTTGCATATCTGCAATTCTGCGGCCTCACCAATCTAAGTACGGCATATTATGATTATACAAACCACTGTAGTTTATTACTTTAAGACATCCTGAACAAACAATTCCAAGTAGCAAAATACTAGCGAGAAAACATTCTACACAGTGTTCCAACGTCATGGCATATCTAACAAGATCGCAGCACAGCTGTGTAGCCATCAAAGTGTTTCAACAAACTTGGGGAATAAAAATAACCTTAATACACTGCCCAAAGTGCGCTAACCTAAAGTGCACTAAGACGAAATCAAATAAAACTACTTGTAATTAGCCAACCTCACATCTGCGTTAATTATTTACCCAATCACACTGCATATTCTGACAACTTTATTGCTTAACAATGCACAGAATTACCAATGAAATTAAGGCAAAGCAGTGGTGTTGCATACCTCACGATTCATCTCAACGACTCCTAGACCTCCACGCGCGGAAGTTACGCCCCAAGCAAATCCTGCGCCTCAAATTTTTCCAAGTTAGGATGATAAAAATTATGAGATGAGTAGAAATCGACTTCATTTTCTATGTCTTAAACCTTTGAAATACACAATAAAGTGAAAATTTTCATAAAGAAAAATTTAAGATGTCAGTGTCATATACAAATGACTTAACGTAGTTCATTGCTGTAGTCGAAACAAGTTTTTCCACACTCACACAACTATACACATATGGACAGATATGAAACGTTCCAGAATCTGATTACTTATTACAGACTATAGTTATAATTGTTTTTAGGAGACAAATCAAAGTGAAATTTAACCCAGATGAAACAACATCATACTGACAAAGCATGACTAGGATTCACGTTGGTAGAGAACTAAGTACAGGTGGGATGAATATCATGCAACAGAGAGTGGAGCAATCATAAAATAGCAGAGGAAAATCCCTGGAAAATGAATACTCTAGAAAAATCTAGTAGGTAATTGAAAGTGTCAGACGAACATTTTTGATGGTGTTGCTAGTTCGGAATAAGTGGAAGGATAATCAATAAAAAGGCAAGAATTTGATTAATCAGTGCGAGAAGGGGCGAGAATTCCTCCTGCACGCTCATATTAAGTTTCACATTTTGGATTGCTGTCGTCTTTGTAAAGCTCAGTAGTACACCATCGCTCTGCTTATTAACCGCTGGCAAGCTGTGTTCGGATTGATGACATTGCTTTGTCAGGGAAGTCTGACAATAGCACTGCTAGGTTGTTTCCCAACTAATCACAATATTCGTGGAACATTTTCGAAGTCTTATCGCAGTGACCCTGTATTTTTCTTTCCAAGCATTTGACAATCAGAGTATAAGTGAACATCTCATTATTTTGTATTAAATTTCGCCTACTACGCTCTAGATGAAACACGGGACTTTGACGACGGATTTTCATTTCACTTTTTCACCTTTATTCACCTTTCACCTGCTTCCCGAGCCTCCAAAAGAGTTCACTTTCTCTAGGTATGATCATCCCTAAGTCACCATCAGATGTTAAACACGTTGCTGCCTATTCATGTTCCACTCGATCACCTAGCGCGTGACTGGGTGATTGGTTGTGGGCAGGTTCAATGATATATTTCCTTGTCACTCATGTTTTCTAGCCAACCTTTCTATCTACAGTATGGATCAAAAGCATCTGCTGATGACGGCCTGCAGCAGGTTGTGCAGATCCACCGAGTTTCTGAAACATACAAAAAAGATACGTGCTTTATTACAAAGCAGCACGGAAAAAATGAGGATATACTATTATTATTATTAATGATGCTAAACGGAATTCTCAGCATCTGGTACGATACTGCACCTAACTTTGTCGAATAACATTAAAAAACTCTTTTAATATTACTCCAGGAGTTTTGCCGCTAGTTCCTTTTCGGTATCTGCAGTGGTAGGAAATTCATAAACATGCAAAAAATAATGGTAGTAGCTCAGAGTCGAAAGTTCGTATCTCGCTACCTGTGCTCATTCCAGTATATTTTTGTACCTCCTTCCAATCACGACTGCGGCTACGTTTTGCACCATAATCCGTGCCGCTGATTGTAGTTAAAATGATAATGTCCAAAGAAGGCAGGTATGAGAGGTGACAAATATCACAATGCTTCTGTTGATGCTGGCTGGTGCTGGTTGTTGCTGGCTGGGTAACCTTTGTCTTCTCTATGTCCATGCTTTTGCTTTACCTTCCGTCGCCAAGTTGGCTTACTCCTGGATATTTTCGAGTATGTGTGACAAAAACTAAGAATCACCCGTGAATTGCAGATATTCTAGGGTATTAACGAAAACAGAAACATATAGCTCAGTGAAGAGTCTCCTTTCAACAAATTCATTCGCTTAGCCGTACAGTCACAATTAAACATACTTATTTTTGTATGTGGGTAAATTGGGTCTGTCCGGTGAGAATGAAAGTAGGTTAGGGTTATTGTTGTCAGGACATTTCAAAAATGTGATGAGTAATCGAATTGTAACTAGGATGGTGAGGGGGCAGTGGCGATGTGTTGTCAAAAAACGTAATCATTAGTGTTGATCAGCGCATAAAAGAATTCGGGTAAGCGTAATGCAGTTTCGTAATAAGATTAGTGGTTCAATAAGTAAATTTTGACTAGCCAAACGAATGATCTTGTTCCGACATCTACTGATGAGTTACAGCGATTCAAATCAACAACTATCCATTGCTACTGCCACTAACTCACTACAAAAGCAAGAGTCCGCAATCACCTAACAAAGCAGCATCGAGAAGAATTAAAACAGCTGAGACACGAAAAAGAACCACCAATAACCCGTCTTTAAAAGGAAGCTGGTGTGGCTTTTTTTCGGATAGAAAAGATTATATGGAGAAAATGAAGAATATACTCTCCGACAAAAGTAAATTTTCTCTGCGTCGGTGGCACAGTGGTTAGGACTCTCGCCGACCATGCACATGGTCCGGGGTTCGATCCCCCGCCGACGCAAACCCGATATCTATGGTCGGCCTAAAAAATTTGGGCTACCGATATCCATGCTGAAAATTCCATACTTGTAATGAAAATACGGTGTGGCATCAAGCTGTAATCAAAATAAAAAAATAAAAAACTGAACTGATTAAGAAACAATATACAGACATCTTGAAAAGAATGGAAACAGATCAGTTAATTAACTGTGACCTCTATGATCGAATACGGCCAACAAGTTCAATAGTACAAAGGCCTTGAAGTTCACTAAAGACACACAAAGTTGGTCAAACACTCCGTCCAATATTAGATATGGCAGTTTCCCCTCATCATTCTGTTGTGAAATGGCTGGCGGATATTCTTTAACCCCTAAAGAAACATATTGTTGCCTCATGATACCTTCCAATTCGTATACCAACCTTATGCATTGAGTGACTCTTCACCAATGTCCCACTTACAGAAACTGTGTGTTTTACATGTAGATACATAGTGACAACCAGATCAACGCTGGAATACCAACAACATATCTTGTATAGTTGCTGCTGATGGGTACTCTCAATGTACAACTTTCTCTTGATGACACCATCTACAGACAAATCGACAGTATTTCAACAGGATCTCCCTTTGGTCCACTATAGGCACACTGCTTCATGGCTGGCCTTGGGAGAGGTTCACCCGAGTCATTAATTGATTATCTTCAATTTAATAAACGGCATGTAAATGACGATTTCACCGCTTGTGACACAGTTACGACCGGAATCAGTTGCTAAAAACATTCAACAGCAACCATCTGGCAATGACTCTAGAAATGGAATGCAAACCCCAAATGCTCTTCCTCGATATGCAACTAACAAGACACCTAGAAGGTTAATCCATGGAAAACCCACAGCCAACTAACAAATTTATGTACTAAGGTATCTACTGGGCGGAAACGAAATCTGATTAAATCCCTCGACACTTGGATAGGATGCATCCGCAGTTCTGACGCTTTAGAAGCAGAAATGGACCTTCCTTCCAAAATGGATACCCAGCAAGATTCATCTACAAAAATATCAAACCAAAGGTCAAGAGGAACGAAACATCACTTGCTTCTGAAAAGATACTTCACATGAATCCCGATTTAATTTGAGACTTAGCTAGTGATATCCCTAAGAGACGAATTTTAGAATCTTTGAAAAGAATATTCTTCTCGGCAACGCTGAGGGTAGTGCTCTCCACTCGTCCACTGATCCGCAGAAGCCTAAAGGACAAGGTCTTTCACCTGGTCACTTCTGCGTGCATATACGCCTCGTTCAAGGTGATCTGCAAAATGAATTATAACCTAACAGAGACAATACGCTTTCGTCTCCTTTGTACTACTGAAGCCGTAACTATTCAGTTTAGAAAATAATAGTCATGTATGCAAAAGAAAATCATCCAGCCACTTACACTATCTTGGTAACAACCATGTTGACTTCTACTGGCTTGATATTTGTGCGCTTGTTTTCGTAACTCGCTATAACATCTTTTTTTAGAAGGCTGACATAATTCCATATTTCGTTTCTATGTTCATTCTAGTCGCTACTCATTCATTGAACCATTAATCTTATTACGAAACTGCATTACGCTTACCCGAATTCTTTTATGCGCTGATCAACACTAATGATTACGTTTTTTGACAACACATCGCCACTGCCCCCTCACCATCCTAGTTACAATTCGATTACTCATCACATTTTTGAAATGTCCTGACAACAATAACCCTAACCTACTTTCATTCTCACCGGACAGACCCAATTTACCCATATACAAAAATAAGTATGTTTAATTGTGACTGTACGGCTAAGCGAATGAATTTGTTGAAAGGAGACTCTTCACTGAGCTATATGTTTCTGTTTTCATTAGTATGTGGGTGGGGATTATTCATGAATTCTATGGTGTGTTTTGCCACCCTAATTGTTCCCTTCTTTTGACACCTAAGAGTCAACGTCGTTAGTGATAGTAGGTGGTCTTGCTTCGCTTTTTTCTTCGCTTCGGACCCTTCAGTAACCTTGGAGGGGATGAAAGAATTTTGTCACTTCAACTGAACATCAGCCAGTTGGCCCTTATACCTCCAGTTTTTCACCTGTGCATTTGAATCGCTTTGCTGACAAATGCATTTTCAAGGAAAAACGCGAAATCGCTGTGTCACTGTATGACCGTACATCTCTACAGTCTCTTCGTAACATTGTGAGTAACTGTGTCATTAAACAGCTTTACATTTATATTCCCCCCCCCGCTCGTTGTGATGGTGTTAAGAGCAGGCTGGTCACCAGGACGCATCGTCCAGGACAAAGAACCAGATAGAAGTGTGGTCAAAGCGCAGGTCTGGCAGCATGGAAGGCTATATAGCAGCCATGAGCCTTATCCCTAGTTGAAGCCAACCAGGAAACGAGCATGGATTCATTCAAGCAACTTGACTGACTTTCTGGAACCTTTCAGTGTGGATTAAATTGGCAGCAAACGCTAATATACAGCCTTTGAATGGGGTTGATAAATGTAAGGGGAAATTCATGTTTAAAGAATTCCAAATCACACCGTGA